ACACGTGATACTGATGAAGATAAAGTCTCCTTTCCCTAGAGGGAACAGGCGTATCTGAGTCTAAGTAAAATCATCATTGCATGCACTGACAGTTCTGGACCACCGAACATCAAGTGATACAACTAAAACAGGGTCTTTCGATGAAAGTACGTTGGAAACAACTCGTATGTATAGTACTTGATTGAAATGAGACGAACGTAGAGATTTTAAGCATTCTTTATCACTCAACATCCATGGCGTACCTTGGAAGAATTCCAACCAAAATGCTGCACTAGAAAAATAAGTGTAGCGTAAATCAAAGTTGAAACATACATATATGTAGAGAACATTTCAAAGGATGGCAGATTATCTGAGTAAATTAAAATGTGATCCTCTTAATGTTCTGTTGGGGAAGGCAAATATCTTCATCCGCAATATAATACTCACATCTTAACCCCGATGTGAGTATAAATAATAAAGATGAAAGTATGAAACAAAACAATTCGAGGATTTTCGATGGTACTGCGAATGAGAACGCCCATCACTTTACCTCGTACAGAGTCAAACTTTTTTTCCGCCCCATCCTTGATCAGTGTCCTCGCTTCGGTAAATGATTTCATACGTTCAACCACGGCACTATTGTTTTTCTCGTCGTGTGAATCGGTATCCGTAATTTTCTCTGACCTTTCGTACTGATTGGTTAGAATTGTATCGACCAGAAATTCCGGTAGGCGGCTGGTGCGCGAATTCAGTAGTTGGCGATAGGTGCCAAGCTCGCTTATTTGGCCGTCCACAATTAGAGCTACGCGATCGGAGAATGGCAAAGCTTTGGAACTGTGAGTAGTGAGGATGACCGTTTTTGAAGCGAGCAAACCAGTTGTGCGACTTAGTACATGATTCAGCAAATGCAAACCCACATGCGCATCAACTGCTGAGAGCGGATCATCCAGTAGATAGATATCAGCATTTGAATAGCATGCTCGCGCCAAACTAAAAAAGTTAACAAGGAAAAATAAGTGTATAAGGAACAGCAAAGGGTCACAAAATGACTTTCATTCATTGGTTCGCCAGTTAGAGGCATGCTATCCCCATTGTTCATTATATAAAAACAGAAGTTACAATCAATCTAGGGCAAAATTAGGGTTTTCATTGCTATAATAGTCTGCTAATTTATAACGAACAGTACGAACGACAGAACATACAACAGGTAGAATCTACCATTTAGGGTTTGTTTCCCGAGGTGACATGGTCACCTCGGCAGGTGAAAATACGTTTACAATTTGCTAAGCTCGGAGAACAGGCAAAAATAATTCAGTTCACCCCAGCTACGAGGATCCATTTTCAATATTTTGTAAAAAACGAATGTAGCACAATTAGGATGCTTCAAAATACGGAAGAACTAAAAATGGCTGGATACAAGGATACCTGACACGCTGCTTTTGACCACCGGATAGATTGACGCCTTTGTCCCCGATTTCCGTTAAATCTCCTTTCGGCAAAATCAGTAAATCTGGTGCGAGACCACATGCAGCAATCACTTTATCGTAGCGAGCGCGGTCATAGGGATGTGAAAACAAAATGTTCTCTCGAAGTGTTGCGTTGAAGATCCACGGTTCTTGGGGTACATATGCCACGGTTCCCTGAAGAGAGAGCACAAAGAGATACCGCATGAAGCCGTNCGTAACCATACGAAGAAAAAGCACTAAGTGGCTGTCTCGCTCCTTTTGAAAATGACACTTGACTCGGCTTTTTATTCAATGAATAAAGGGTTTTCAGTGTACCTATAAAAGACTACGAGCAAGACCTTATTCCCAATTAAGGCAGTAGTTTTGTATAGACGACTCAGTTCCCTAGTTCAAATCGAAATGACGAAAGTTAACATATGTTAAATTCAAATGTGTATGGTGCATGTGGTCAAGCTGTTTAAGCTTTACCAAGAGGCTTTGGTCCTTGAAGTCTGAAGTTCGAGCTCGACCAACGTCACCCAACTTTGTTGACAGTCAGCTGCACTGTCGTCCGGTTCAATACTACGCTCAACTTAGTGGGGACCTTATTTGTTACCGGTTTCCATGATTAAACAGCAGGTCCTCATTACTATACCCGGTGTGCTATGCATCAGACAAGTGTAACAAAAAAAGAAGTTAAATCATTCCGATCATTGTGTATCACGAAGACGTGAAGGGCGGAAGAATGATACCAATTACACAAACCAATCTTTGTGAGAAACTCGGAATGCTCACGTTCTATCCCGTTTGCCTCACCGTGAGGTTCAAACCGTTGAGGAATACCAAAGACGAGGAAAGGTTATGTACTGATTGTCATAACAAAGCTATGAAACTTACGTTAATATTGACTCGACCGTTGAACACCTCCATATCACCTAGAAGTGCATGTAATAAGCTAGATTTTCCCGATCCCACGGTGCCCATGACTGAGGTGAGTTGTCCCTCCGGAAATTGAATTGAAATGCTAAAACAATAACAATCGAGTACGTGCATTGTAGTATTAAGGAAAACACCGGAATCTATCAGAGATATACAAAATGTGAAATAAACGGCATCAGAGAGAATAAGAACAGCAGTTAAAATTTTATGAAAATGTGAGCACCACAGTTTATCATCGCGTTTGACGGGAAAAGTGGTATTATGACAGAATGATAGTCAGCAGAGAACATGTGAATTCTGGGAAAACAGCACAAACTTAGTCATTTGGTAATTATCCCATAGAGTACTTGAAAAGGGGAATGTCATCTCAGGCATCCAAATTATCAGTATAACTTGACTCCGCTGCAAGATTTCCTTTCACCGGCATTCAAAAGTGAGGCGTTTCAGTAATGTGTCAAGTTTTTCCTTGAAAGGTTAGACACATGGCGCACAAACGACGTGGGATGGTAGAAAGTCTCTAGCAGTGAACATTCTAATGGAATAAGAGTGAAGCCATCATCTGACAGTGCTAGTTTCACTGGATGTTCCCTGAAACGGTCGGTGGGTGATAATAAATGCAGGGGAAGACACGAATGGCTAGCGTTTTTAGTATTTTATAAACCAAAATGAAGTTACTGCGAGCTCACCGATAATTAGTAAAGAAATGGGCCCCGCAGCCATGGACCCCCGATATAGATATTAGAATGCAATCTCACCTACTATCTTGATGGCTATCCTTCCAGGACCCTAGCATCTTATAACCGCCATGTAGCCATGCACTTCGGGTCCGAATGACTTATTTTGTGTGCGGTCGCATACGCGTTGGTAGCGGACGTGAAAGCAACGTTGACTCAAGCCTTCAAGAGACTCATTCAAGTAAACCAACATTCTATACAGTTAGGTATGACACTTTGAAGCGGTTTATGGAACAGCTAATGAACAATTCAGCTAATTTAGAGCGGTTTTTGCGGTATAATGATAGGACAGTGAATTTTGACAGAAGTGAAAAGTATCCAAAACTAGAATACCGTTATTGAGAATCTTTAGTTATCTTCTTGCGCCCAATCAAATGTCATCTAAGCAGCAGTATTGGGGTAGACCGTAATGTAAGGGGGTAGATTTGAACAGCCGTCTTTGAGGTGCACTTGGGAAAATTGTGAGTATACAAAACAGCATATTGTACGATTCAAGGAACAAATAAGGATAAGACCAGCATTAAGATGTATGTAAAGCAAACCCCGTGAAGTTGACTATGTCGGGCTGTTTAGTTTCTAGGGGAGCTGGGCTGAAAAAGGTTACAAAAACTGCTAGTGACTTGTCACCTCACGAAATTCACAAAAAATGTTCCAATCATAGGACCGTGAAGTGGAACAAGCCGTTCGTTTGTTTGCACCGTTTCAGCAAATGCCAATGCAGGTCATACAGTCCGATGTCAATTACCTTTGCAGGCATGTTTTCGAAACAACCGGACGAGACAAACTAACATTGATCTTGTTTCTGAATAAACACACCTAATCGTATGTAAATGGAAAACATATTTGAATATTTCAATTTCTCTAGTTGATTCGTTACATAGAAAGTGGATTTTAACAATTAAAACATACTTTTAGGCTTTGCCTAAAATGATGTTGAATACTGTATTCAAGAAGACTTATCCTTAAAAAATATATATGGTAATTTTCTAATCACTGCAAGGTAATATCGTGCGATTTGTTTGCAGGAAACCAAACACGAGGTACCTTGACTTGAGCATCAAATGAGAACGATTGGTTCTAAATAGCTTAAGAGTTGACATGGACATTTGCATTGGCAGATATGATGTAAGACATGAATCCAGTTTTGATGAACAAGTGTGGCATTTCTTCTAGCCGCTCTAAGTTTACTACAAAGTAGCTTTCAATGCTCGCGGGACTTCGTCTATAGTAAAACCGTAAATATTAGGCACATTATCAGTTTTTGTGCAGGTTTTCTGCCTCTTCGTACTAATTAACTAATCACAAAACTATACAACTGGCTGCAATCTACTTAATTTTGCTTGTTTATTATGCATAATGAAATTTAAAAAAAACTGTCTAATTAGCACCACAGAACTCGAAATGTTTGTCTTTTTGAAATTTCGTTGGTGATGCCCAACAAAGAGAACTGGACAAAGGTCTCGTCATCGTTGGGACTCACCAGTCGTGCGTACTACGTCTAACTCTGTAGTGACTCGAGGTGTGAACTTTCGGGTTGGGAGTCAAAACCCTTATCCGTGAGCTACAGAACCGTTCGACTTTTCGTCATCATTTTGGTTTATTTATATGATCCATTCAACAGTTCACCAGTTACATTAACCAGCAACTGCTGTCATATTCCAACGAACCCGTCGTGAAAAAACGGACAGCAATTTGAAATGTGTTGTGAATTTGACAATAAACGGCGTTTCTTTCTTTTTGCCATTTTTTAGTCAGCAAAAGAGTACGTAGCACATCTTTACTATTATATTTATACATAATAAATTTCAAAGACTGTATAAGAGCGCATTGCACACCAACGCCGGAGAAATGTTGGCAATGGAAATAACAACAATAATGAGAAACGACAAGATATCGTACTTAAAGAAGATTATACAGGTATTGATCGAACTCGTGCAACATGACTCTTAAAAGAGAAATATTTCTCAGCCTCAAATATCATACCCATACATCAATAGCTACTGGTATTAAACATTTATTTCGAACTTCACTTTCCATTGTAGTTTTCTTAGCTCTCCCGTTACGCGATTTGAATTGGCGCGACCTTGGTTGTCATGATAAAAATTGCAGTAGTTCGAAAGTTACTGTTTCAAATCAGAAACCATTTGGTGCAGAGACGCACGGACGTCTATTCTTTCTAACCAATGAATATTGTTCCATGAGGATGTTTATTCTGTTCCATCCGCGTACTTTAAGTAGCATATCTTTTTCTATACAACGCAAAGTAATTATACAGGTAAATTACGATATATCATCAAAATTTATTCGAAAATATATGTGTCTTCAAACTGCCCCCGCAAAATCTCGCATCAAGAAGGAAGTAAAAAAATATTTCATGGAACGTGAAATTTAACCTTCGAGCAATGACCTGGTGTGCGGCATGTCGAATATTCATTTTGTGTTGTCACCATGTCCAAACCGGATGATAAATCCAA